ACATACAGCTGAACTGCCTCTTGCTACTGATTTTAGTAAATAATAATTATTTAGTAAATAAATATTTATTTGGTAATAATACTGATTTTAGTAAATTACTCCAGGACTTTAATGTTTGTCGATTTTTGTTCTTCAACATAAAAGGAAAGATATTAAAGATTCAGCCACACCAAAGTAAAGAGCCATTTTAACTAATTCCTCTTTCTTTCTTTTTCCTTTTTAAAACTTTTTTTTTAATAGTTTTTATTTTTGAAAGAGAGAGACACACAAGCTGGGCAGAGAGAGAAGGAGACACAGCATCTGAAGCAGGCTCCAAGCTGTGAGCTGTCAGCACAAAACTCGATGCGGGGCTCAAACTCACAGAGCATGAGGTCATGACTTGAGCCGAAGTTGGATGCTTAACCGACTGAGACACCCAGGTGCCCCTAATAGTTTCCTATTCTTATACAATAACAGTTCACAAATACTGGCTCTTTTTAAGTTACATTTCCTATAAAAATGTATAGAAACTCTCTTCTGGATATGGGAATTGGAAGAGAGCTCCTAGATAACACAAATGCTAAGTCATGACTGATGCACCTGCTCCATTTGCTAGAGCCCAAATATGACTTCCTTGAAGGTAGATACAGGAACACAACAATATATGAGAAATCAGGATGAAGAATGGCTGAATTCCATTACACGGGGTATATTCAATCTTGAAATGTGCCTTAGTACCTTTGAATTTTCTGTATGCAACACTCATTTGACAAATTCCTGAGTTTCTCAGAGCAGTGAAAATCCCTGTGACATTTCTACTCATTATACCTAAACATAAAAGCAACTACACATCACAGTGTCTTAAAGGGCATACCCACAAACAAAGCAAAAACACAATGCACCAGAGAGCTTCTACAAAACACTCTAGTTTCATCACTGTTGCAAATTTTTTTATAGAGATATGTAGGAAATTCAGTGAAAAGTCTTCAACAGATTTACATAGAAAGTGACCAGAAAAAGAATGGAAATGAATTTGGCAAAGTAGGGTTAGCCCAATGAAACCAATGCAAATCAAAATGAAACGAATTCTTGGGGCGTCTTGGTGGCTCAGTTGGTTAAGTGTCCAACTTCAGCTCAGGTCATGATCTCGTGGTTCATGGGTTTGAGCCCTGTGTCAGGCTCTGTGCTGACAGCTCACAGCCTGGAGCCTGCTTCAGATTCTGTGTCTCCCTCTCTCTCTCTCTGCCCCTCCCTCCCTCATATTCTCTCTCCCTCTCAAAAATAAACATTAAAAAAAAAAAGAAATTTTGAGTTCTTAAGTTTTATAAAGTATACTCCAAAAAATAGTGTCTGAGCTTTTATATAAATACCAAATAAGTGCTCATAAAACCCATGAAACAATGCTCACTGGGAGTCAGGAGCCTGTACTATGCAGTCACAGCTGGGTGTGACTGCCTACTATGCTGTTCACAAGCTGGGTGATCTTAGGGCAGTTACTCAACCTTACTGAGTCTTATTTCCTGAGCTGTAAACTAGACATAAATTCAAGAATAGTGAATACAAGGATTTAATAGTAGACTAAACATACCTGAAGAGAAATGTGTTGGAATGGAAAGAAGATTGAAGAAATTATACAGAATGCAGCACAGAAAGGCAAAAATATGGAAGGTACATGAGAGATTAAGAGACACAGGATAGGGTGAAAAGATCTAAAGTATGTTGAATTAAAGGATCAAAACCAGAGGAAAGATTGTGAGAAAAGCAAAAGGCCTTGATCTTCTTATTTAAGAAGCCTCACAAGTCTCAAGCAGAATAACCACTGAATGTGTATTATATAAACTAGAAATGTTATTGTCAACTGCACACCACCAAAGACAAAGAGAAAATCAAAAACAGCAGCCTGCCAAAACATGACACTTATCTCTAGAGTGTCAAGTGACTTCTCATCAGTAATAACAAAAGCCAGCTAACAAAGGAATGACTACAACATACTGAAATGTAATAACCTTCAACCTAGAATTCCATAAGCAGCAGAAATATTTTAAAGAATGAAGGCATTCTTTATATATACTTGTATACTTAAAGATGATTAAATGGCAAATTTTGTTACATAAGAAAAAAGTTAGAAATGTAAAATACTAAAAACCACTGAATTATATATACACTTTAAAAGGGTTAGCTGCATGATAACCCTTAATAAATAACTCTCAATAAAGTTATTTTAAAAAGGAATAAGGGGAAAATGTAAAAAGACAAAAATCAGCAAATACTAAAGATAAACTCTGAAGAATATACTCTAAGAAGGAGAAATGTGGTAAAACATTAGTAAGTCTATATATAAAAACAACATATTATGAACATACTTATTGCTTTTAAACAATAAAGTTAAAACATCAGAAGAAGAATATCTCATTTGGGAGGGTGTTCTTAGGGCTTTAAGGTTCCTGAACAGCCTGAAAGGAGGATAAAAGGAATTTACTAACTTTAAACTTCGATAAATTAGTATGTAAAATGTAATTTCAAGGGACCCAATAAGAAAATTAGAAGCAGAATATTTAGATTCTAATTAGAAGAGAAGAAAACATGAAATTAGGTATAAACTTCAAAGTCAAGAAAGTAGAGACAAAAAGGTATTAAAGCATCAATAAATATTTATACCCAAATATAGAATAAATATATTAAATATAGTTTGTTACAAAATTTTTGTTAGAAACAAAAATTGTCAAGTTGGCATCTTAAAAACATAATCTAACTATATGATGTTTATAAGGGACACAACTAAATATAATACAGATACATTGCAAACAAGTGCATTGCTAAAGAGTGACAGTTTATAATAATTCAAAAAAATGAAGAAGGGAAGGAAGAAAGGAGGGATGGACGGAAGGTGGGAGAAAAGGAGGGAATAGGAATTGGAAGGTGTATTGTTATCTATCACTTCATAACAAATTACCCCAACATTAAGGTGGCTGGAAACAACAAATGTTTATTACCTCATAGTTTCGTGGGTCTGGTATCCAGGCTCAACGATGCGGAGTCCTCTGGCTCAGTATCTCAGGCTACAGTCAAGGTGTCAGCTAAGGCTGCATTCACCTCAAGGTTTGCTTCAGAGAGAATGTACTTGCAGGATCACTCACGAGACTGCTTGGCAGACCTCAGAACAGCCACTTCCAAGATCGCTCACACAGCTGTGGGCAGGCCTAATGTCCTCACTAGCCAGTGGGCAGAGCGTTCCTTGCCTGAGGGGCCTCTCCATAGGGCAGCTCACACAGGTCGGCTGGCTTTCCCCTCAGAGCAGCCCTGAGAGAGAGTGAGAGAGAGGGCAAGCAAGATGGAAACCAGTCTTTTCGCACTCTAATCTCAAGAGGTAGCCTATAACTTTTGCCATATTCTACTTGTTAGAAATGTGTCACTACATCCAACTTACACTCAAGGAAAGACTGCACAAATACCAAGAGGCAGGGGTCACTGGGGACATTTTAAACGCTATCGACCACAGAAATGAAAAACAGAAACTGTCATTGTTTGCTTATTATGTAGCAAAGAGGTAGGAAATCCAAAAAAAATCACACTAGATAATTAGAATGAATAGGAAAGTCTAGGGGTACCTGGGTGGCTCAGTCAGTTAAGAGTCCAACTTTGGTTCAAGTTGTGATCTCACGCTTCGTGAGTTTAAGCCTCACATCAGGCTCTGTGCTGACAGCTCAGAGCCTGGAGCCCGCTTCAGATTTTGTGTCTTCCTCTCTCTCTGCCCCTTCCCTACTCACTTTCTCTTTCTCTCTCTCTCAAAAATAAACATTAAAAAAACCCAGAAAGTCTAGCAGAGAGGTTGGGTATAAACATCAGTACACAAAAATCAGTATTATACTATATATGAGCAAGAAACTGAAAGCAGAAATTTTAAAATAACCTCATTCACAAAAGGATCAAACAAGAGGTATTTTTCAGTTAAATAATAACTAGTGAAGTTAAGGATGGATACTATTTACTTTTGTGTATATTTGAAAATTTGCTACTAACATTTTTTAAAAGTATCAAATATCTAGGAACACATCCAACAAAAGATTTGTAAACCTTTGCAGAAAATTTTTTTCTCATTTATTCTAAATAAATGGAAAGATAAACTATTTTCATCCACTGAAAGATATACTATTGGAAAGATAGCAATTATCTCCAAATTCACTTACACATTCAATATAATCCAAATCAAAATCTCAGGTGTGTGCGTGTGCATGTGTGTGTGTGGAGCATGACAAGCTGATATTAAAATATGAATAAAAGTGGCAAAAGTGAAAATATATACATATAGTAAAAGTCTTTGGCTATACCATATCTGTAACACAAAGTAAAACCATAATGAAATACCATCATACACATACCACATTGACAACAATTCAAACTCTGACAATACCAAGTTTTGGTGAGGACATTAAGCAAAACCCTTATTCACTGTCAATGGGAAAGTTTACTGGAGAGCAGAGCAGAAGTAGACTTACCCTTTGCTCTAAACACCATTCTAAGGTCTGAAAACAAATCCTGAAATACTGAGAATCTCCCATTCCTTTACATATTTGGAAGGAAAGGTGGTACCCAAACCAATAGGAATACTTTTTATCCATTTGTAAGTAAACAAAATCTGACTCACATGTAGTAGGCATTCTGCAACAAAAGAACAGGGCCAGATGGCAAAGGCAAGGAAAATTCAGTCCAAAACCAATTAGTGACTGTTACTCTTAAAATTTAGGGTAATTACTTACAGAAGAAGGCTTCCAGATGCCACATAACCTAAGTGTACCATTATTTGCAAAAGGGCAAAGCAAAGCAAAGCAAAAGAAACAGACAAAGCCTCTTGTAGGCTTGTACCAAAGCCTAAATGTCACTCATTTTATCATAGAAATAACTGAATGATGTGAGGACACAGGCCAAGACAATGAAGCTTAGCATCTGAGGACGTTCTCTAACTGAGTTAAGTAAATACCAAAAAAGAAACACCACATAGCATAAAAAAACAAAAACCAGTATTTATTTACATTCCATTTACTTTCAAATGGCTGAGGAAGCTGGGGGAAATATAAAGGAAGCAGTCTTGTTTTACTTAACCCATTTGTATTTTTTATGAAACAACAACGTCCTGATTCACAATCACAGGTACAAGGGTATCCAAAAGGTTTACTTAGTTCAATTTTTCAGCCAAGGCTGAAATTATACCACTGCAGGTAAATGAAAATCAAGTCCATTATAGGTAAACACCAGTTAATATATTTGTAATAAAAGAACCAGCTTTAGTTAAATCTGTCATAATATCCAACGAATCTGCAATAAAAGACACAGCCATCATAATATAGGGCCTTAAGAATCTCTGTACAAGAATGAAAACCAGATTTTACATGAAGAGAAGTCACAACCATAAGCTAGGAACTCAATAGCATCACAGTAGCAATACCCAGTGTCTCTCTTATTCAAGTACATACACTATTTTTGAGACTTGGTTAGAACAATGACATCAGTAACTGAAATGTACAATTATTTTATTAACACCATGAAAGACAACAAATAAAAAAATGAAAATACCCACAAATTTTGTAACAATCACAAACACGCACATTAACCATACCACTATACATTTGTCCAAACTTTTAAGTGATTTGTACACTTTAAAACTAGCACTGAGTTTTACAAAAATACTGATAATGGCTCAACATTTTTGGAAGTCCGGTAACTTTGTATTTCAGTAGTCTATATTTACTGCTCTTCTTTCTTCCACCGCCATAGTCCTCCTGTAACCACCAATTTGCTCAAGGCAACAGCAACAGCTAAGTACTACATTCGAAAACTTCTAGTTCTTTGAAATGGTTGGAAAGGGTTTTTTAGTGCCCACATTAGCAGCTGTGGTTTCGGTTTCGGTTTCGGTTTTTCAGGAAACAGAAGTGCTTCACTTTCTGGTGTAGGAAATCGTTCTTGGTAGACTTCGGGATAGGATTTTTGAAACTAAAAAAAAAAAAAGTTCAAGATGAGTCCAAAAAACCCAAGATAAGGGACAATAACATTAGGTGTTCTAATTTTAAAATTAAAGACTTTCATATCTGATTCCATACAAGTTGTTTTTGTTTTGTTTTAATGTTTATTGTTCTCTATCAGAAAAAATAATAAGGCAACTAATCATAATCAAACTCACTCCAACACAAGTCCATTTATTTTCGTAACATCATTTGATTCCCCTTGCTGTAGATTTAATTCAACTTAAATTTGATCAAAGCTCCAAATAAACTTCTCATTTTGGTCTTATTTCTTAGAATTTCCCCCAATGCTAACTATAAATAGACTTCACTTTAAAAATATTCACAAGTAATTCTGACTTGAAAATAACTTATGTTCTACACGGTTAAGGAAAATTTTGGCCCAACTACATTTCACGATCTCCCAGCTTCTCCAACTCAGCCCCACCTGCTTCTGCTCAAATGGAAGGGAAAACATTCTAGTATATATGACTTTATGAAAAGCTTAAAGAGAGGCAATATGCTTTTCCTTTATCCTCAACATTGAACTCTTCTCCAAAATTACTGAAAAAATATGTTTGGGGTCTAGAACTCTGGTGATCTGTGTATAATCCCTATGTGTAACGATGTGATCAGGAATCAAGCTTGCATCAGACTTCAAAAATAAAAACCATTCACTTAATCTGCAATCAATCCTTTTAAGAATAGTCAAAGTAAATCTAGTTTGAGTTAAATACTAGTCAATGAAACCCTAAACTGTGTTCCTAGTAGGAACTAAAAACTTGTAGCAATGCCTGAGGCAAAAAACCAATTTGATACTGGCTATCTAAAACCAAAGCCTTTCCAATTTTACACAGTTTATATTTGCAAATTCAGTATAATTTGCCTTTCGAAAAAGAATCAAAAGGAATCTGTCCTCATCTGATAGCTTCTCTGAATTTAAAGTAATGAGTCCACTAACTCACATCAAGCCACATAGCAAAACAAAGAGCAAATAATGGAGAACAAGCTCCACAAAGGAACAGTTCAACAATGGTAAAATATCTACACTGGAAAATAAAGATATGGAAAACAGACCACAATTATGTAAAACAATGAGACTGTTGGAATATATGAATTGAATAAAATACTTTCAAAAGTGCTATGTCTCAGAAGATGAGATTCACATGAAACTTACGAAAAGGCAAACCATGAGAGACTCTTGAATGCTGACAAAAACTGAGAACTGATGGATGTAGGGGGGAGGGGGGATGGACATGGAGGAGGGGACTCGTGGGGATGAGCACTGGGTGTTATGTGGAAACTAATTTGACAATAAACTATTTGTAAAAATAAATAAATAAATAAACTTAATGTACCTTTGTGGAAAAAAAAGAAAAGGAGACACTATTAAAAAAGCTATATTGAAGACCTAAAAAAAAAAAAAAAAGAATAAAAAGAAAAAATATAAGAACAGCAGGCAGAAGAAGAAATGACTAATAAAGAATATTCTTTACCTGCTTCAGTTTTTTCTTCTTCTCTTTGCTGGAGAGTTTGGCATCTGTTATGACTTCTTCCAACAAGGCTGCCAGAGGTTCCTGAGAGCCATATGCTCTCTGGTATTCAAATTCCTCTGGACTGATCTGACGGCAAAATGATGGAGCAGATAAAGTGATATCCATATCAGCTCCTGGGTATTTTATCTGAGGCAAAAGGATTAATAGTGAAAGGAATAAAAAAAAAAAAAAATAGTGAAAGGAATAAGTATATTTTCACATAAATTTGCAAAAATTAGTTCAGATCAAATACAGCAGCCAAATACAATTTGACTGGGGAAAACTCTTTATTAAAAGGTAGAAGTGTTTCTATAACGTCAAAAAAAATCACTGCAACAGTTTTAAGTAAGAGATTTTTACCTTTTTATACCCAAGGGCCATTTTAATAAACAAAAAAACCTGTGTGCTCTTTTAAATAAAATCTTAAGTTGAAATATAAACTAAACATGTTGACAAAAATTATTCAAAACAATTAAAATATTGATCACACTCTGTGGGTCCCTTCCCTCATCTGGAGAATCTGATCCTCTCTTCCGTGGGGATGGAAAGAGAAACACATGTAGCTTCACAATTATGTAGAGAGAAGTTCTACAACCATCTCCAAATATGTTAACAGTGAAAAGCAAGAAAACAAATATTCGGACATTGTATAGGGCAAAAGGGAGAAGGAAGAAAAAAGAGGAAAGATAATACCGAGACCTGCAAATAAATGAACATCCATTAAAAACATTTAGTTTTCAGATGCACTTGGATGGCTCAGTTGATTAAGCATCAGACTTCGGCTCAGGTCACAATCTCATGGTTTGTGAGTTCTAGCCCCACATCAGGCTCTATGCTGTCAGCACAGAGCCTGCTTCAGATCCTCTGCCCACCCCCTCTCTGTGCCCCTCCCCTGCTCATTCTCTCTCTCTCTCAAGTAAGTATATAAAAATCTAAAATATATAAGTATATCTATATATCTAATTTACATAAAGCAAACATTAACAGGCATAAAGGGAGAAACTGACAATAATACAATCATAATAGGAAACTTTAACATCCCACCTACATCAATGGAGAAGTAACCCAGACAGAAAATCAATAAGGAAACAGTGGTTTTGAACAACACATTAGATTAGATGGACCTAACAAATATATACAGAATATTCCATTCAAATACAGCAAAATACACATTCTTTTCAAGTGTACATGGAACATTCTCCAGGATAGATCATGTCAGGCCACAAAACAAGACTCAATAAATTTAAGAAAACTGAAATCATATCAAGCATCTTTTCCAACCACAACAATAGAAAAGAAATCAGTTATAAAAAAAACAAAACCCCAAAAAACTGGAAGAAACAAGAACGTGTGCAACTAAATAACCAATGGGTCAATGAAGAAATCAAAGAAGAAATTTTAAAAAATACATGAAGACAAATGAAAATGAAAACACAGTGGTCCAGGGGCACCTGGGTGGCTCAGTCAATTGAAAATCCAACCCTTGATTTTGGCTCAGGTCACAATCCCAAGGTCATGGGATTGATCCCTATGTCATGGGGACTCCATGTCCAGCATGAAGTCCACTTAGGATTCTCTCTCTCACCCTCTGCCTCTCTCCCCTACTTGTACTTGCTCTCTTTAAATAATAAAAATAAATAAATTAATTAAAAGCCAAACACAATTGTCCCAATTACTGGAACACAGTAAAAGCAGTCCAGAGAGGGAGATTTATAGTGTTACAGGCTTATCTCAAGAACCCAAAAAAACTCTAATAAACAACCTAACCTTACACCTAAAGGAACAACAACAACAAAAAAGGACAAAGCCCATGGCTAAGAGAAGGAAGGAAACAATAGACTATAAAAAGAAAATAGACACTAAAAAAAAAAAAAAAAAAAAAAAAAAAAAAAAAAAAAAAAAAAAAAAAAAAAAAATAAAAAAAAAAAAAAAAAAAAAAAAAAAAAAAAAAAAAAAAAAAAAAAAAAAAAAATAAAAAAAAAAAAAAAAAAAAAAAAAAAAAAAAAAAAAAAAAAAAAAAAAAAAAAATCAATGAAATTAAGAGCTATTTCTTTGAAAAGAAAAATCAAAATTGATAAACCTTTAACCAGGCTTATCAAGAAAAAAAAAGAGAGGACCCAAATAAATAAAATCAGAAATAAAGGAGGAGAAATAATACCACCACAGAAATAAAAAGGATTATAAGAGAGTATTATGAAAAATTACCTGACAAATTGAGCAACCTAGAAGATATGGGTAAATTCTTAGAAACATACAATCTTCCTAGGCTAAATCAAAAAGAAATTAAAAAATTTGAACAGATTAACTGCTATTAATGAACGTGAACTGGTAATCACAAAACACCCAACAAACAACAGTTCAGGATCAAATAGTTTCACAGATGAAGTCTACCAAACATTTAAAAAAGAGTTAATACCTATTCTTCTCCAACTATTCAAAAAAACCTAAGAGGACTGATAACTTCCTAATCCATTCTACCAGGTCTGCATTACCCTGATGCCAGAACCAGATAAAGATACTGCAAAGAAAGACAACTACAGGCCAGTATCTCTGATTAGCATAGATGCAAAAGTTCTCAACAAAATATTAACAATACATTAAAAGGATCATTCACCATGACCAAGTGGGATTTATTCTAGGAATATAAGGGTGGCTCACTATTCACAAATGAGTCAGTGTAATATATCACATTAACAAGAATGATAAAAACCATACCATTATTTCAACAGAAGCAGAAAAAGCATTTGGCAAAATACGACAGCCATTCATGATAAAAAAGAAAACCCCCAACTAAATGGGTTTAGAGGGAACATACCTCAACACAGTAAAGGGTACATTGAAAAAGCCAGAACTAACATCATACTCAATGATAAAAAAGCCGAAAGCTTCTCCTCTAAGATCCAGAATAAGACAAGGATGACCATTCTGACACCACTTTTATTCAGCACAGTCCTGGAAGACCTAGCCACAGCAGACAAGTAAAAGAAATAAAATGCCTCCAAAATGAGAAGGAAGAATTAAAACTGTCAATATTTGCAGATGACATGATACTATACATAAAACACCTCAAAGACTCAAACAAAAAACTATTAGAAGTAATAAATGAATTCAGTAAACTTGCAGGATACAAAATTAACATGGAGAAACCTGTTGTATTTCTGTATGCTAATATTAAAGTAGAAGAAAGAGAAATTGAGAAAATAAACCTCTTATAATTGTACCAAAAAGAATAAATTACCTAGGAATAAATTTAACAAAGGAGGTGACAGATCACACCCTTAATGAAAGAAATTGAAGACAACACAACTGGAAATGTATACCAGGCTCATGGATTGGAAGAATATCATTAAAATGCCCATATTACCCAAAGCAACCTACAGGTTTAACACAATCTCTATCAAAGTACCAATAACACTTTACAAAGAACAAGAACAAATAATTCTAAAACATGTATTAAAACACAAAAGTCCTCAAACAGCCAAAGCAATCTTGAGAAAAAAGAATAAAGCTGAAGTATCACAGTCTCAGATTTCAAACTATACTACAAAGTTACAGTAATCAAATATGGTACTAGAACAAAAAAAAGACACATAAATCAATGTCCTGAACAGAAAAGAGAGCTTAGAAATAAACCCATGCATGTATGTCAATTAATCTGTGACAAAGGAGGCAAGAATATACAATGGTGAAAACAAGTTTCTCAATAATTGGTGCTGGGAAAACAGGACAACCATATGTAAAAGAATAAAACTAGACCACTTTCTTATATCATAGATAAATATAAACTCGAAATGGGTTAAAGACCTAAAATGTGAGACCTAAAATATTTTTTTTTAATAGTTTATTTATTTTTGAGTCTGAGAGAGACAGAGCATGAGCGGGGTAAGGCACAGAGAGAGAGGGAGACATGGAATCTGAAACAGGCTCCAGGCTCTCAGCTCCCAGCACAGAACCCGACTCAGGGCTCGAACCCACAAACTGCGAGATCATGACCTGAGCCGAAGTTGGACCCTTAACCGAATGATCCACCCAGGCGCCCCTAGACCTAAAATCTTAAAACTCCTAAAAGAAAACATAGGCTATAATATCACCCTAAACAACATATTTATGGATATGTCTCCTTGGGCAAGGGATACAAAAGCAAAAATAAACTCCTGGGACTACACTAAAATTAAAAGATTTTGTACAGCAAACAAACAAAAAAACCAAAAACTAAAACTGAACAACAACAACCAAAAAAAACCCCTCAATAAAACCAAAAGGCAACGTAGTAAATGGGAGAAAATATATGCACATGATATATCCAATAATAGGTAACTATCCAAAACACAGAACTTCTACAACTCAACATCAAAAAAAAACCAATCTGATTTTAAAATGGGCAGAAGACCAGAAAAGACATTTTTCCAAATAAGACTTACAGATGGCTAATAGACACACAGAAAGATGTTCAACATCACTAGTCATCCAGAAAACACAAATCAAAACTACAATGAGATACCACCCCACACCAGTCACAATGGCTAGAATCAAAAAGACAGGAAATAACAAACGTTGGCAAGGATGTGGAGAAAAGGGAACACTTGTGCACCGGTGGTGGAATGTAAATCGGTGCAATAATTATGGAAAATAGTATGAAGGTTCCTCAACAAATGAAAAACAGAACTACCATGTGATCCAGCATTCCACTTCTGGATATCTACCCAAAGAAAATGAAAACACTAATTTGAAAACAAATATGCACACCTATGTTTATTGCAGCATTATTTACAAGAGCCAAGATACAGAAGCAGCCCTGCCCAAGTGTCCATTAACAGATGAATGGATCAAGAAGATGTGGTATGTAAATACACACACACACACACACACATATATATTCAGCCATAAAAAGGAATGAAATCTTGCCATTTGCAACAGCAAGGATGGAGCTAGAGAGTATAATGCTAACAGAAATAAATTAATTAGAGAAAGAAAAATACCATATAATTTTACTCACATGTGGAATTTAAGAAACAAACAAAATGAGCAAAGGGAAAAAAGAGAGAGAGAAATAAACCAAGAAACAGACTCTTAGTTACCAGAGGGAAGATGGTGGGGGGTGGGTAAAAAAAGTTATGGGGATTAAGGAGTGCACTTGTCATGATGAGCACTGGGGTGATGTTCGAAACTGTTGAATCACTATATTATACTCTTGAAACTAATATAACATTGTATGTTAACTACAGTGCAACTTCAAAAAAAAAAAAAGATGTGGTATATACATGGAACATTACTCAGCCATAAAAAGGATGATATCTTGCCATTTGTAACAACATGGACGGACCTAGAAGGGATTTTGCTAAGTGAAATAACTCAGAGAAAGTCAAATACCATATGATTTCACTTATATCTGGAATATAAAAAACAAACAAAACAACCAAAGTGACTCTCATATACAGAAGTGGGGGAAGATAGGCGAATAGATGAAAGGGATTAAGAGGTACAAACTTTCAGTTAGAAAATATAAATAAGTCACAGACATGAAATGTATAACATAAGGGATATAGTCAATAATGTAACAATGTTGTACAGTGACCACTCATTGTGAGGAACACTGAGTATGTACAGAACCATGGAATCACTATGTTGTATAGCTGAAACTAATGTAACACTAATATATGTCAATTATACTTCAACTAGAAAGAAATTAAAGTGTTTTTTTAAGTCAAGAAATATTTAATTAAAGAATTTTACATGTGAATCTTTCCACTGCCAATCCCCATAGTTTCCAAAGTCAGAATCATAATCTTTAAAATAGCCCTTTTTTTTTTTTTTATGTTTTATTTATTTCTAGGAGAGAGAGAGAGAGAGACAGCGAGAGCAGGGGAGGGTCAGAGAGAGAGGGAGTCACAGACTGAAACAGGCTCCAGGCTCTGAGCTGGCAGTCAGCACAGAGCCCGACGCGGGGCCCGAACCCACGAACCGCGAGATCATGACCTGAGCGAAAGTCAGACGCTTAACCGACTAAGCCACCCAGGTGCCCCCAAAATAGCCCTTTTGAAAAGGCCTTAGATTCAATCCACAGTTGTCACTGTTAGTCCAGGGTTCTTTCAGTTGGACTTCTTTATCTCCACTTGAATATGGACAGACTTCAAAAATTCCCCACACAGTTAGGGTCAGAGTACATGGATCTGATCTGCCTGGTTCTCAATTTCAGACAACCTCTAAACATGAATGAGTGCAAATCATATTCACCCCCAACTCTCACACCCTAGAACTGTACAGATTGTTGGGATATGCCAGTACCTAACACTTAAAAAATCTGACTATTACATCTTTCATATAGTTTTAGCAGATAGACGTTTTGTAGTTCTTCCTACAGATCTAAACACATAGTTCTATGAATAAAGGAAACCACACATATACTCTATAAGGAGTTCCCAATGATGTAGGTTTATAGAAAAAGCCCCACCAGGACAGACCTCAATTAAAGTGTTCATTTTCCCCAAAATATAACACTTTTGCTCTTCTGCAGCCAGACACTTAGTAGGGAAAACTCTAGATATCTATGATTAAACATAGAAAAGGAGAAGAGGACTGTAGTCAAGGTTAATAGAAGGCTGGTGTGAAAAACAATGCCTACCTCACAATTTATCTATCCCAGGGTCAGCCGTGAAATTTCCCCAGAACCATTCAAGTTAACACTGTTCATTTTCAGAGAAGCACTGCCCTGAATGTGACATGCTGTAGGGGCTGAGTAGTCCACATGAGAGAACAGAGATTTCTGAATACTGAAACAACTGTTTGGCAATTCTACTCAGCCCTTCCGAGAGAGAAAATGTAATTGGATAAATGAGAGCTTACCGGTTTTATTTAGTGCCAGAGCAGTGCCCTTCCCAAGATCGTGATAATGTACAGTTAAATGAATCAGTACAGCTCAGCCTTTTGATCTTCAGGTGAGACCGAAGGGCTCAGTTATAAGCTGCTGCAGTATATGCCTGTGCTATGGGAACACCGGAACCCAGCAAGTATACAGAGCAACAGAGCTATTGCTATCACTTCTCCTTGCAGAAATTCAGTGAAGTATTTCTTCTTTACTTTTGTTATAAGTTAGGGTCATAAAAATATTGGGGGGAGAAGATTTAACTACAACAGCAGTAAGGTTATACTTTTTACCCAGTAAAATGGCAAAGGCATATATGTTAATGATGATACCCAGAGCAGACACGGGTGCAAAGATGTGAGTACTTTCTTACACCATTCATGGGGCTATAAAGTAGAACAAGCATTCTAAAGGGGAATTTGGCAATATGCAATCAATACTTAAAATATATCCATAGCCTTGGACCATGCAATGCCACTCATAAAAATTTATTCTTATAGAAACACCTGGGTGGCTCAGTCGGTTGAACATCTGACTCTTGATTTTGGCTCAGGTTGTAATCTTACAGCTGTGAGATCAAGCCTCACATAGGGATCTGTGCTAACAGCATGGGGACTGCTTGAGATTCTCTCTCTCTTTCTCTCTCTCACTCTCTCTTGTTCTCTCTCAAAATAAATAAACTTAAAATAAATTATTCTTAGAAGATGATCATGGAATCTTACCCCCCAAAAAAATTTAGGTACAAAAATATTTACTGTTATGTTATTTGCAAAACAGAGGGAGAAATGGAAACAATCTAAGTACTAACCAAAGAAAGCCAATTAAATAAATTATGGTATATATCCATATTATGGAATACTATACTACTAATAATAATATTATGGAATAACATAACACTAATGATGATAATATTAACAGCAGCTACCAACTGAGGGCCTACTAAGTGATAAATATTATCTTTAAGTCCTTTCCACATCTTAAGACATTCAATCCCTAAAACAACCCTAAGACATAGGTATTGACTATTATCCTATTGTACAGATGAGAAAAGAAGATGTCAGGTAGAGGCTGAAGCAGAGACACATTATAAAATGTGCTCAAGGTCACAGGGCCAATAGAGGGTACATCAGGAACACAAGCTACACTTAGCTCCAGAATCTGAGCTCTCAACAACCCTGGTGTCAGTCAAGAATATTTAGTGATATGGGAAATATTTCTTGTTGTACCATCAGGAGAAAATAAGGTATAAAAGAGCAAGAGTGAGAGAGTGAGTGAGTGAGGGGAAGGGAAGGGGAGGGAGGGGGGGGGAGGGGAGGG